CACCAGTATTGGTAATTTACAATTAGTTTCCCACTTCTTGCTCACCTTTATTTCCCTCATACGTACCAGTGTGTCTGATACAGAATGTTCCCTTTTCTTGCCAATCTTGCCTTACTTAAAAAGGCATAGAATTTAATAAACTTCTATAATAAACATACAGGCTAAGTAAAGTTATGCCAAGGAATGTAGTACAGAAACTTGGGTACGCTATGTCTGATGTAGATTTTTTTTTCCCAGAGATGAATTTTAATTGTTAGAGAGATCTCAGGAAAAAAAAAAGTATCATTTGTCCATGTTTTGTTGAGGAAGCTAAAGGTTCTTTGAATATGTAAGGTGGATGGGTTCAGAGTTCATCACCAGCTAGTAAAATCTCCCCACCTTACTCCTGCTTATATTCTCATGCCTTTAAGGCACACAAATTCTGAATTTAAGATGTGAATTCAGCATAGATTGCTAAAATAACACTGAATCTATGTGCAGACATACTTTACTGAATTGAAGTAGTTTTAATTTCATTTGATTAAATTTGTTTTGAAAGTTAAAAAGGCTACACTGAACAAAGGCTACTTTGATTCTGAGTGAAACTCCATCCACAGTTCAATGAAGTTTAATCCAGCTCGAAAAGCAAGTACATTAATTTCTCTGATTATCAGTGTTGAAGACTAGACCTTATTTAGCATTGCCCTTCAGGAAAAGGAAGGTCTGAACCCTTGCTGAGGAAAATAGTTAGGATATTGGATGCCCACAGCATGTACTTTATGAATATTATGTGTTCATATTTTAAGTCACTCATAACTCTTAAGCACACAGAATTTACTTCAGAAGACAACTCATAGGAGGTGCATGCTTCTTCTGATTTTTTTTTTTGCCACTTTAGGCAAAGATGTCTTGCAAAGACAAGAAATATTTCATTATCAGATTGAAAAAAATGAAAGGACTGAGTAACAAATCTGACAGGCACTGGATTCTCAGATGTCAGCTTTCTTCAATGACCATTCTTCAAGGATCATGTGGATGCATTCTAATCTATGTGAAGTTCATGATAACTTTATTTTACAATCGCCACTCTACTTATCAAAGATGACAATAGTTACTTCCACCTTTTAATGGCCACAATAATTTATCTATTGAGAAGGTCAATGCTAGAGTTAACAAGTTCATTTAAATTAGGATAAAGTTTTTCTCCCACATTAATTGCATTTTAATATTTTTATTATGTCTAGTGACATATAACTACAACATCAGGACTTCAACCCAGCCAGTATTGGGATTGCACAGCCATAGAGCTTAGACAAATCATTTTAAGTTGTGGCACCTATATCAAAGACTTGGGTACTGAAGAGAATGCTTACTGTGAACGTGGTTAGCAATTTATTAGCTAAAAACCATCAAGCGAGATCTCTTCTACTAAATGTCAGGTCTACCTGATGATCAATGAAAATAATGTACAGCAGTCCAAGAATAACAGGGATCTGTATGTATTTAATAACCAAACTCCAGAGCCACCGTCTCCAGCACTCAGATTCCTACCAGCAGTTGCACACTATCTGTCCTAAAATGTGGAACATGAAACAATCACGTGAAGTGTTATTTGTAAATGCTGAACAAACAATACATCAGAGATTAAGCAAGCCTTGGCTTGGTGGCATTAACTGAAACAATGTAGCTCATAAGGGTTTAATACTACAATAATGAGATTGATAACAGAAATGGAGCAATGTACAGACAATATTTGTTGCATGTGGGCAGAAGGTGTTGCCTGACAAACAACACTTTTCAACACTTAAATTCTGGACATCTTCACCATGAATCCTCTCTACAGTTTTGCTTATAGTCTGAAAGCAAGAGCTAGGGAGCTCCCCTAATTGCTAAGGCTTTCAGAAAAATGGTCATTTAACAAGAATTTACAGCTGTAGGTGAAGATTAGCTTAAAAGAAACATAAAAGGAACATTGTTATAATGCTGGGATATCTAACAGAGAGGGTTTAATAAAAGGTATTTGTTGCTTGGTGAGTGTGTTCTTTTAAAGTTTTATATAATGGTGACCTACCCGTGAGGTCCTTAAAATGTGGCAGTAATGATTAAAAAAATGGATGAATAAAACCAGACTCTTTCTTGTAGGACTGAAGTATAAGAAATTATTAGCTGTATCTGATGATGCTCAGAGAGCACTATGAGCTAGAAGCTAAAACAAAAGGAATAATAATGATAATCTTCCTTTGAGTATTCAGGGCAGTCCTACTGGAAATTACTCTCTATTATAGAGTGCAATGCTTCATTTCCATCAGGTTACTTTTGTTGGCTTACTTTTGACAAACACCTACTGCTGATGGTCACACTGAAAGCACTGATCTTAAATGTAAGTTCATATTTAAATAATAAAATATTACACACATTTACTGTAACAGTTATTAATTTAATTGGGCACAGTGCTGATGTTTTCCATTTTACTTCAATGTTCTGTCTTAATTCATGTAACTTCAATACATCAATTCAGTATATTTTACACAGAACCTTTTTGAATACATTATTGCTTTCAATTTAACATTTTTAACTGAATTCATGAAATGACTTTGAAATTGCATTCCTTCACATAAACTGAGGAATTTTAATGAAGCCTCACTAGTCTCATGCATTCAAAAATTAATGCCTCACCATGGCTTCTGAACAACTTTCATGCCACATCCAACCTTCCCACCTCACCCCCAGATTCTAACTTTTCAAATAGACTCTTTAGTTGTCCCTATTGAAGTCTACATGAGGATTAGAAATTGTCTCTGTCTTTGATTACTTGGTACTTGCTACATGCTTCGAGTCAACAATGTAAGTGACAGATCTGGGGTATTAAAAATAGCAGAAAACATAAACTTATGAAAGATTTATGTGTTTTCTAAGGCTACCCATGGAATGAATCTCACAGCCAAAATTAATCTTGTTTTACAGAAGCAAAATGCCTGCTAGCTTTAAAAATTTCAGTTCTTCCTCAAGTCTTGCTATAGCAATGCTAGCTGAAGAACTGAAACTGCATTTCGAAAAAGATCTGCATTTATCCCTAGATCACACAACATATAAGACGATGAGAAACATGGGCAAATCAGGTTAGGCAGATGACAAGGAATGGCAATTTGACAATGTGGCCAATTTGCTACATGAAAGAAAAGACAGGGAGTTCCAGTGTAAAAGATTAAAACTAAGAAGAATACAGAGAAGAGTATTTAGGCTAAATTCAGCAGACCATTTAAATGCAGGAGTCTTCCCATGTAATTTGGTAGGACCATTCCCCAGCACGATGTGAGGTAAAGGCAGAGGTAGTACCACTAGGTTCTGAGATATAACTGAAAAGGTGCTTGTGTGTAAGTGACTTCCTTGCAGTTCAAAAGCTGAGAGTCAAATATGCGTGAGTGCTCTGCAGAAATGTGTATGAAAATAGAGCTATACAGAAAAAACCAAAGTAACCTTCTGTAATGTTGAAAAATCAGGAAGAAAGGACGTATGGTCATCATATTCTTCCTTCCGTAAGTTTATCACAGACATTTATAAAAGTTAAGCCTCTTAAAGTATGGGTGTTTGTAAATGCTGGATGAATGCAGCAGAGAGCACAGCCGAGTGGGATTGAAAGACAGCCTCTAAACTGCATAAACGGCTCTAGAAATGACCCGAGGAAGGCTGTGAGAAACATGGAGGCTGAAAAGGTCCAC